TCGCTCAGTGGGAAATTCGTCGAATTCTGCAAGTTAGAGACAGTAGCACATTTCAGTTAAGCCACTCTGTCTTAGGTTGACCACAATGGCCTCTGGTCGGACCTGCGGAATGAGAAAAACGGATAGGGAAAGTTTTGGCCCTAGACTCTAGGGGTATAATATCGCACTGAAAAAATGCGTACCGTGGGCTCCAAGAAGCAGAATCGAACCGCACCCGCCAGGTTAGTGTTGTGACTACGACCCGACCATGTAGAGAGATAGAGATCGGCCGATTACGAGATGTCGCTGAAGTCCCCCCTGCGTAATGGGTAACTAGCCGCCTCAACGAGACATCTGATGAGTTGTGCAAAAGGTGTCGGGATCGATCCCGGCACACGTCATTTTTCCCGTCATTGCACTTCGGATGACGTGTAATCAATCAATGATCTTGTATTATGAGTGAGCATGACGTCGCTCGAGGCCCTTCCTTATCCCAGTCCTTAACCTGGGAAGAGTACATCAACACCGCCGTCTACAAACTCGATCGTAAACTGCATAACGTCGTCAAGCACAGTCTCGATGGAGAGAACACTTTCTATGCCATAGGACGGCTGGGGACGGTCCTATTAGCGGCCACTGCTATCGGCGCTTTCACTTTCAATAGGTAAGTGTTCATATACCTCCCATTGAGCAACCTGTTAGTTAGACTAGGGTAGTTTCACGATAGGTCGCTAAAGATGTCTGGTCGTTCTTTCGTGGGAAAATATGTACATGGTCAACCACACGAGTTGGTGACTATATGAAAATTCTGAGGAAATTTCGGGAAATTCTCGTTGGGTCTTGCACACTGCTACCCCAATTGGTTTGTGAAATTCCCGAGTTCAGCTGAGGAAAGCGATCATATATTCCTAAACACTGTTCATTCTGTCAGGAAAGCAAAGGAGTTCGCGCGGATGAATCCAGCAGTCTTCTCAAAACAGACAGCATCCCTTCCAACGTAGGAGGCTCGAGCGTCCAGCTAAGTGTCAGGGTTAGTGCGTCAGGTCGGGTCTTGGGAAGCCGCAACACTTCGTACCGCTAGCCACCGCTGTCCTCACGCCTCGGGAGACGGTGAAGCTGTTCGTCCTGCCGTTCCTAGTTATCAGTGGAGGCATGGGAATCGGCTGGGAAGGTAGTGCATCGGTTGGGGAAACGTTCAAGCTCTACTATACTTCTTACTTGCGAGCAATGTCGACGTTCAGTCACACAGGCGTGTACTGGTATGCGGCATCCATCGGAGCTCGTTACTA